CAGCGTCCCGTCCCGCTACCTCCCGCCCCCAGTTTCCTTTGGCCTCTTGCCGGGTCCAGACGCCTCTGGCCTTGGGATTTTCCGTCTCTCCTGCCTGGAGCAGTGACTCATAAGACCCAGGGGATTTGCCCGGAATCCCCTTTTTTCGGGCCTGGATTGGGGATGCAGGCTCTTTGGGGACAGTGATCCCCACGGATTATGTCCTCTTGTGTGGTCACAGTCTCACCTCACTTTCTTCCTCGATGGAGGAAATTCTCAAATTAATTTCAGCAACATTGAGATGGGTGGATAGCTGATGGCCCTGTCTTGGGGGCTGATCAGAGGAGAAGCAGACACCCACAGTCAGCCTGCCCCTCACCAGGAATTTGGTAATGGACCATCCTGGCACCCCTGGCATATTATGGGATATGATGGCCACTCTGATCCCACTGATCCACAGATATCTTTCCCTTGTCACCATTCCCCTCTCCCCTGGCAAGTCCTGGGATCTTTGTAGGGCTGGGGCCTCTGCCAGACCTGGTACTCAAAGAGGTGTCATCCACAGGCTGAGCAGCCCAAAGTCCTGAGTGCTGTGGAGGACCGCATGGATGAGCTGGGTGCATGCATTGCCCAGTCCCGGCGCACGGTGGCCCTCATCAAGGTCAGACCCTCCCTAACCCCCATCCCTGTGCACTGGCAGCAAGACCTTTCAACATGGTACAATCACTCCAAACAAGACCATGCTCAGGGCACTATCAGTCCCCATTAAGCATGAGCATCTCCCCTGACCTGTCCCAGATCCAGCTCCTGCATTCCCCCAAGAGGGCAGGGTGGGCATGTGGGGTCACAGGCCAGGCCTGTTCCCTGCCCTCATTGCTGCCTCCACTGCTGTCCTTGCAGAGCGCCGCTGTAGCAGAGCGGGAGAGGGTGAGCCAGCTGTTTGCCGAGGCTGCTGCCACCCTGCAGGGCTTCCAGACAGAGGTGCTAGGCTTCATCGAGGAGGGGGAGGCTGCCATGCTGGGCCGCTCCCAGGGCGACCTTCGGCGACAGGAGGAACAACGCAGCCGCCTAAGCCGGGCCCGCCACAACCTAGGTCAGGTCCCTGAAGCAGACTCAGTCAGCTTCCTGCAGGTGAGGGCCACCCTGGGGCCACCGTGGTGGGAGGTGGAGGTGGGGTCAGGGAGTGCTTGGCTTTCTGGGGCTGTGCCAGCCTCCTGGTGGTGCTGCCCCACCCCGGCCTGGAGGAACTGTGTCCAGTGGAGACTTAACCAGCACCTGTCTGGCACAGGAGCTCCTGGCACTACGGCTGGCCCTGGAAGAGGGGTGCGGCCCTGGACCTGGTCCCCCCAGGGAGCTCAGCTTCACCAAGTCCTCCCAAGCTGTCCGGGCAGTGAGAGATGTGCTGGCCTCGGCCTGTGCCAGCCAGTGGGAGCAGCTGCGGGGGCTGGGCAGCGATGACGGGCCACAGAAGCTGGGCTCAGAAGGTGAGTGTCCCACAGATGACTCACTGTTCCCTGGGCTCCTCACACAGGCCTCCGGGCCTGGTCCCCATTCAGGATGGAGGAGGGAAACTGTGCCTGGTACAGGAAGGGACCCCAAACCCGCCAGGGACTGGAGCCACCATCCTCTGTTGACCAGTCAGCTCTTTGGCGACAGCCCAGCTTCTAGCTTCAGAGGGGCTGAGACCCAAGGAGCAAGTGGAGTACAATTCAGGCACAGACCTGTCTGAGCCCACGAGGTGGCATGGGTGGGTGTGTATCTGTCCCCAGGTGGCTTTGAGAGGAAGGCAGGCAGAGGGAGTTGCAGTCACAGGTTCTGGGGTGGGCACTGTGCTCGGCCTAGCCTTGGGAGTCTGGGGGATGTGCTTGCCACTGTCCCTTCTTCTGTAGCTGACAGCGAGTCCCAGGACCCTGATAGCACGAACCACCTGGAGAGTGACATTCCCAGGGACTATTTCCTCAAGTGTAAGTAGACACTGCCTTCCTGTTCCCATGGAGGTCTCATAAACAGGCCCTAGCATGGTCCTGACATCAGGAGGTTGGACTCCCCTCCATAGTTCCTGGGGTGAATGAAGTCAGCTTGGTGTTGAGTCATGCTGGTTGCAATAGGGGGGTGAGGCTGTGTTTAAGGGGGGTGGGCACCTGTGGGGGGACCATCTTATCTGAGTCTGGCCCTGAGCCCTGCGTCTCTCTTCCATCTGTGGGTTCAGTTGCCTACATCGTGGACTTGGATAGCGACACGGCAGATAAGTTCCTGCAACTGTTTGGAACCAAAGGAGTCAAGAGAGTGCTGTGTCCCATCAATTACCCTGAGTCGCCCACCCGCTTCACCCACTGCGAACAGGTGCTGGGGGAAGGCGCCCTGGACCGTGGCACCTACTACTGGGAGGTAGAGATCATTGAGGGCTGGGTTAGCGTGGGGGTCATGGCCGAAGGCTTCTCCCCACAAGAGCCCTATGACCGGGGCCGGCTGGGCCGCAACGCATACTCCTGCTGCCTGCAGTGGAATGGACGCAACTTCTCTGTCTGGTTCCACGGGCTGGAGGCGGCTCTCCCCCAGCCCTTCTCACCCACGGTCGGAATCTGCCTGGAGTATGCCGACCGGGCCTTGACTTTCTATGCCGTTCGTGATGGCAAGATGAGCCTTCTGAGGAGGCTGAAGGCCTCCCGGCCACGCCGGAGTGGTGTTCCGGCCTCTCCTGCCGACCCCTTCCAGAGCCGCCTGGACAGCCACTTTGCAGGGCTCTTCACTCACAGGCTCAAGCCGGCCTTCTTCCTGGAGAGTGTGGATGCCCATCTGCAGATCGGGCCCCTCAAGAAGTCCTGCATATCCGTGCTAAAGCGGAGGTGATGTGGGGCTTCCACCCCTCAGGGAGGAGGACCCCTAGCCTTGTTTCTGGAAGAGAAAGCTTCAGCTGGGATGGATCCAGTCTGTCCCAACCCCTCCTTTTCCAGGTTTTTAGACCAGTGCCAGACACACAGTAGGTGCTCAATAAACTAAACGTTTGCTGAATGGATGACTCCCTTTTTAGTCACTCTTTTTAAGAATCCACAGGACTTCTCAGCTTTTAACAGCTGGCCTAATGTGGGCAGGTGAGAGACGAACAGAGCCCCTTCAGGGCACCCCCACTCCCTAGTGGTGGCTTCTTCCACAGGCTCCAGCCCCACAGCCACCCTGGGGTCTCCCATGTTTGCTCTGGACAGCCCAGCTCTTACCAGCTCTTTTCATCCTTGAAGCCACAGCCAGGTCTGGACCTGCCCTTTGCCGGCCAGAATAAAACACAGAGGTCACCCTCGCCCCCCAAAGAGCAGAGCAGGACACCTGGGGAAGGATAAGAGTGGAGACGGGGGCTTCTTTCACATACACACCTCAGCCAGAGAGCTCTGTGAGTCAGACCGCTCCAGGGTGTGGCTGGAGCAGAGAACATTGACAAATTAGGTCCCATGTCCTCTCCTGGAGATAGCCTGGGCCTCAGGTCTCCACGGGCAGCTGTGTATCTGCACCACCACACTGGTCCTCCAGTCTGGGGACCCCAGGGCCTGGCCCAGCAGGAGAGCCTCTGGCTGTGCTGCTCTGAGGAGGTGCACGGCCCCCTGCCTGGCCCCCTGCCTGGCCTGGGTCTCCCCAGCCCGCCAGGTACCTGGGTTTCCAGGCCAGCTCCCTCTCCATTCTCCAAGGCCCAGTGCACCCTAGAATGGGCCTGGAGGGCAAGGAGCAGACAGAGAGGCCTCCCAGGCATCAGGTGAGGTCAGGCAGGACAATGGGTGAGTTATACAGCCAGACAGCAAGGCCATACAAGTCCTGCCCCAGGCCTCCGCAGCTAAAAATAGGCCTCCCTTGCAGTCTGGGGGCAGCGGCCAGGATGTTGTTTTTCCAGGCGGGGCCTCTCTGCTCCCGGTGCTGTGTGTTTCAGCCCCGTTCCCATGGCAGCCAGGGTCCCACAGGTCCCAGCTCACCCAGCAAGGGGCCACTCCACTGCTCCAGTGTAGCTGGGACTTCCTAGAGCTTCTCCCCACCTGCTGCTAGCCTCCGCCTTCCAAGGCCTTGCCTGCCCCTCGGCTACCTGCTCTGGCTCATCTCCTCCCTGAGCTTGGCACATCCACCATCTCTAACTGGAGAACCCCCTGCTCCCAGACCCTGCAGGAAGCCCTGACTTGTCCTGGAATGTGAGTTTGGCAACAGGCCTGGAGCTTCTTGGTGGAATTTTGAAGCCAGATTTAAAATTAGGTAGTCAGTGTAATTAGGTAAATCGGGTCTAATATCGAGTGAAATCTAAAATGGAGGCCATGTTGAGAATGAATTTCAGAAAAGTTGAGCAACTCTTGGAATGTTAATGAAGCCCAGGAAACAGCCCCCAACAGATCTGGAGATAGCCCATCCCAAAGAAGTATTAATGAACAGCAAACTTGACTCCAAAGTGCCCTGAATTACTTCTTTGGCCCACCTGTGTCCCAACCCTTCCCACCTACATTCCATCACCAAAAACTATAAAAAGGGGAACACATTTGCCCTTCAACGGATTCCACCTCTTGGGTCCCCTTCTTCCTCCGGGAGAAGTCTTTTCTGCTGTCTTTTTTTTTTTTTTTTTTAAGCAAATATCTGCATTTTATTAGAGGCAAGGAAAAAAGAACATTTGATCATGTTTAGCTTTTGTAGGGTTCTGATACTGTTTTAAATTGGGGGTTTAATTGATACTCATTTTAGACAAATGGACCCTCGTTCTTTTAACTTCTGCTGTCTTTTAATAAACTTCTAATTTCCACTCTGACCCTGCCTCGGCGTGCTTCTCTGGTGTTATTCTTCAACATTGGGGAAGCAAGGACTCCTCACCGGTCAACAGCGGTGACAATTTGACCTGACTGCTCACATCCATGGCCAAAACTACCCACAAGTGTGCCACTTGCAACTTTCAAAGATTGGCGTGGAGCCTGTGAGACAAGCTTCTCAATCCCCAATCCCAGCACCACAGTTTTACAATTTAGAGTGGGGGATTGGTTCGCCCATGGCTGCATATCTAGCAAGAGGCTGGGGCTGGGGCTGGGGCTGGGGCTGGGGCCTGGGCTTCGGAAGCTCCAGTTTGGAGTGTGATCGACAACCCTGTTCTTCACCTGTAACCCTAGGAGAGTGTTAGAGAGGGAATGTCTGGGAGAGGGGTGCGTTTGTGTGTCTGTGTGTGTGTGAGAGAGATGTGTGCATTAGTGTCTGCCTGTATGGTGTGAGAGTGTGGATGCAGTCCAGGGTCTTGCAACAACACTCTGAGAAGACCCCGGAGGCTGGGCTAGGTGGGCTAAGAGAGGGAGGAAACAGGGCAGAAGCCGTCCCCCCCACCCCCTGCCAACACTTTAGTCAGAGATGATTTTACTTAATAAAAGATCTAGTCCCACTACCATTTATAGATGAATCGGAGGCTCAGAGGCAGCAAGAAGCTGCCCAGGGCTGCCCCATCCAGGCCATTCTGTCCACATTCCACATCTTAGGTGTGTCCTGTGCTTAGAAATGTCTAAACACACACACACACACACACACACACACACACACACAGCTCCGCCTCCCAGCATTGTGGCCTGTGTAAGAGTTGCTCTCTGCCAGGCCCTAGTTCCCACGGTCCCCAGAGGGTCTGTGGTCTCAGAAGCTCCTGCCAGAGGCCCTGCCAGTCTAGACAATGGTGGAGGGTGAAGGTTTGGAGCTGTGGTGCTGTGAGCCAAACATGGCTCTTCTGGGCCAGGCACAGAGCCAACCTCCACTTGAGCCTTGTTTCTGTGGGAAATATGCCCCAGAGTTCCAAACCCAGTGGAGAAAGGGCCTCTGCATCACTCCTCTCTGGGCAGCTGGAGACCGCCAGTTCCTGTAGTCCTCCCGGAGTGCAGGGAGGCCCACAGTCCTCTTCTGGCTCTTCTCTGTCCCCTCCCAAGGCCCAAGGAACACTCCCCTCCCCTCCTCGGAGGCACAGGCACGGAGGGTGAGGCTGGACCGAGACTGTGGCTAAACTGAGGGCCTGGCCAGGAAGATGGGGCTGACCTGGGCGTGGTTGAGGTTTGCAGGCAGCTCGGTTGGGCTGTAGCTTGTTTTTGCCCCAGGGAGAAAAAGAGCACTGAGCTGCAGAGTCTGTGTCCCATTCAGCCCCACACCCAGCACACGTCCCCCTGCAAGGCTGACTTCAGAATCTAGAACACAGGCCCATTCATTCACTTTCTGCACAGTCACACCTTCTGGAAGATGCAGAAGAACTGCGGTGTGACTGGGCTTGGAAACACGCCTGTAATCCCAGGGATTCAGGAGGCTGAGGCAAGTGGATCACAAGTTCAAGACCAACCTGGGCCACTGAGCAAGACCCTGTCTCAAAAGAAAAACAAAAAGGGCCAGAGATGGGACTCACTGGTAGAACACCCCTGGGTTCAGTCCCCCGGGCCTGGGGGTCAGGGGAAGAAGTGCAGGACTGTGGCTGGGGGTGTAGACTGCTTGCCTAGCAAGGAAGAGGTCAATTCCCAGCACCGCAAAACAACCAAAAGCAAATGAGCAAAACCCCAAAGAGAACAGCAGAAGGCCCTGGGTCGTCTTGAGGGGCTCAGGATGGAGAACCTCCACGTCCTTTGCAAGTGCATTTAGAGAAGGGGTTGCCGAGGGAGCCCGCACCACAGAGGACACGGGCCCGGAGGAATACCAAGCCTGCACTGAGGCAGGAAGGCCATAGTCTTCACTAGGCTGTCTACTTTCTCTCTTTTTTAAGATGCTTTTTTAAACAACACCTTTATTTATTTATCTATTTTTATCTGTTACTGAGGATCAAACC